TATTCCAGCTTGTTATTGTAAAATGTCATTATGGAAAATCTAAACTGTTCATTTTAAATCAATACTTTTACTTTTAATACTTAAGTACAAAAAAATATCAGATACTTTAAAACTTTTACTCAAGTAATATTCCTAAAGGAGACTTTAATTTTTACCAAAGTAATTTTTTGGTAAGGTACTTTTACTCAAGTATTACTTTTTGGTACTTTATACAACACTGCTTAAAAAGCAACTTTCAAATATACTGTAGTTTTCAGTGAAACTCATAAATACCATTTTATAGACCTTTAGCTATACTAATAATAACTTTTTTGGCAAACTAACAATTACTTCTTTATCTTCATCTAATCCAACATTTTTAACATAATGTTCTATAATTAAGAACAGATTCCTGCTAGCTTCTGTTAACGACCAACAGGAAAACCACCCCAGTCCTTCTTTCAGTCTCTTTTTGTCTTTTTTCCTTGTGTAGTGTGCACACCGAGGCCTTGTTGTGAGCTTAAAAGCAGAAATCAAACTCAAACATCAGTGATAAGTTTTTAATCATCTTCTCAAAGTTTATTGCCTCAGTGAGTTTCATCTGCCCACAGCTGCAACAGGAGCCCACAGAGTGTGACAGGAGGCTCTGATAAAATCATTTCATCTGGACTTCCTCATATATCAGCTGGAGATGGTTGTTTTTTATATATTTTTATAACTCTGGTGTTATTATAGAGGAAGTGCATCCTGCATCATCTCTAAACTCACTGCTTGTTTTTTCAAAGCAAACTACAACCTTGTGAAATATCAGGATTGCTGAGAACAGTGAGAACTTTATGGACTTTTCAAATTCTGCTAACCTGGCAGAGCCAAAAAAAAAAGTCTCCCGTGAGTTCTCACGCTTACCTTGAGAGAATCAGCCACGAACAAACGCCCCGGCGTGTCATTCAGTCCTCTCCAACAAGTTCCCTCTTTAGCAGGCTGCCACACTGTCCCTCTTCTCTCGTCTCTGCCTCTTCCTTTCGCTCCTCCATCTGCTCCGATGTGACTGCACACATGACGAGGCAGGACCGCACGCTGCCAGAGCCAGAGCTCTCCAACAAAACAGGGATGCGGGGGGAGGCAGTGAGGGGAGGGGCCGTGCAGCTGGATGTCAGCAGTGATGTGATTACACAGGTCTCCTGCTGCAGACAGGACCGAGCTGGTTATGATGGGGGGGACAAGCAAAACCTTCCAGTCAAGACAGAACAATAACTTCTGTCTGGTTCAGACTGTCTGAAGATTGTTATGTGCTGATGCAACACTTGAGCCAGATAGGAATCAGAGTGCTGCTGTTTTTAAATGAAGGCTGTAATGTTCACCCCTTGGCTCTATTACACTTTCTCTGCTTTTGTTCTGCTCTGTCATCCTAGTGGTTTGGCTTTTTTAGCCCCACCCTGTGATCCTTAATACATCTAAAGTAGCATTCAGGATGTGGTGGRGATCCATTAATGATCATTTCTGAAAACCAACACAATTATCTTCTGCTGATAAGAAAGAAAACAAAGTACTGCCTTCTTAAGCCCCAAMGAGTTTTATTGTTGTTTTTGCTCAAAATACCATGCTGAAATGTAAATGAGTGTGTCTTAGCATTTACAAGCTCCACTTAAATAATCTTGGCATCAAAATATAGCTCACACTTGGGAGATTTTATTAGAAGTGTAAGTATTAATTTGCATTTGACAGTATTTAACCCATTTAAAACCATACTGAAGTAGGCTAAAAACTCTTGGAAACCATAAATCAACTCATGGACATTACCTGTGCAAAGATTCATGCTGCTAAAATGAATTGGAGGAAAGTTACAGAAGGTTTTGGTAAAGAAATCATTTTGTGCTTTGTCATTCTGCACAGGACAGACCATGTAGGTACCAGTAATAAATGTTAGTAAATGTTAGGTTTTCAATGGTAAAAGTATTTATTTTTTCTTACCTGCCTGAAAAGATTTGTTATTGAATGTTTGTTCTTTTGAAAAAATATCCAAACATTTATTTGTCACCATATATATTATATATATTATGTAAAATAATGATAAATTATATTTGACTTCACTTGGACCATATTCACTCAAAATCAAATAACAAAAAATTTTTTCAATACACTTTACAACTTTGACTTTCTTTACAAACAAATGTCAACAATCTTTCCTTTACAGATTTGTTGTAATGTATTTACAGATTTGCAGCAATCCCATTTTGTACAGTTTGTTTACTTTCTGATTCAACATATCATTTGAACTGTGTGGTGGATGTAAATATAGTTTCGAGCTTTTAGCTAAGATTTGTAGCTTTCTATTGATACCAAACATGTCAAAGTTGAACTTACACTTCCTAAGTTAACACAAGTTAAAAGATATAGAAAACAGGAAATGCTGGTTTGCCAGCGGTACAGGGGGCATGGGGCTCAGTAAGGCCAAATCTTGCCCTGACAAGGAAAACTCTAAGTACACTGGTTGGAGTCCTAACTGGGCAAAACCTGCTGAACTGCCAGGAAATGGTGATGGGACTCCATGACAGTGGTCTGTGTGATGCCTGTGGCACTGAATTAGAGACCTCTTTGCGCTACTTAGACCACTGCCTGGCTCTGAGGAGTCAAAGGAAAAGAATTCTTGGGAACCTCTTTATGAATCCTGAGAGGCTCAGAACACTGAGTGTTTCTAACTTTGTGTTTTTCATTCAAGGGATGTGAAGGTTTGCATGAAGACCAGTGTCTGTTTGGGTAAAACAATGGGCCCACTTACAGGGCCCCCACTGAGTTCTTTATCCCCCCCCTTCACCATAAACCATAAGGCCAAATCTCTAGTCTCAGTACTGTAACTTATGAGAATTCACGCTCAGAGTATGAGGTGAGGGACTCTCAGCTACTACCACAACAAATTTTAGCTCAATATCTGTAAAATTTACAAAGTCACAACCATTTTTCTTTTGGCTAATGTCGATCAGCTGTTATCCTGACTCTGGTTGACTTCCAAACTTAGTCTCTTGTAGGTGTTTACTGAATCTTTACTTTTTGAACATTTCAATCAAATCTGTCCAGTGGTTTGTGAGATATTTTGCTAACAAACAAAGTAGGACTCCCACAGTTGATGCTAGCATTTTTACAGTGTGGTGGAACTAATACTTTTATGTTTAAGCTAGTTATTCATGACATCCTTTAATGACGTAGGTTTTCATGACATGCTGTTCATCTGCAGATAGAATGATTAAAGTCAGAACAAGATTTGCTAACAATAATCATTCTTAGATATCACTTGTGTTTATCTTTGTGTTTTCCATTGACCTTGTATCAAATCTTGCTAAGACGACAGAATGGTGTTTGTTAATACAGTGGTTTGCAAAAGTATTCATACCCCTTGAACTTTTCCATATTTTGTCACATTACAAC